GCGTGGAGGGGCGGGGCCGGTCTGCCGTAACCGCTGGGTCTTAGGTTCCGAGGGTGTTAGAGGTCCGGCTGGGGGTTCAGTGGGATCCCGTGCCCGGCGTGGGAGGGGCGGACTGAGGACCCCAGCGTGCTGAGGGCCGGCCCGCTGTCCCGGCTGAGAAATGGCGGCCTGCGCGCCGAGCCCCAGAGGATAGCTACCCAAGCTGAGCCTTGAAAGGAATGGAGGCGCCCGAACGGAGGAACTTAGGTTAGCAAAAAGCGAAGCTGGAGGCACCAAGAGGGAAAGCTTTAATCTCTGCACCTTTTTTTCCCCAGTTTCTTGGAGGCTTTAAGCCGTCTCCGCCTCTCCCTGCACCCGAGCTGGAGCTAGGCAATTTAAACCGGCAGCTCCTCCCTTTTCCCGCTGCCCTGGGAGGAAATGGCCCGGGCCGCACGTCGTCCCGGAGGCCGAGCGGAGGGAGGCTGGAGGATGCGGCCAGCAGGGGGACCCCGCCGCCCGCACGAACCTGCGAGGCTGCTCCCCGAGCCCCAGCGCAGCAACGCCCTGGAGGGCGACTTTCATCCGTTTTTGTTTTATAAGCAGACTTTTAACACTTTATCAAGAGCCTTTTTGGGAGTACCAGGGAGTTTTGCACACCGAGGTCCCCCGCCCAAAGTCACACAGCTAGCCAGTGGCAATTTCGACCCTAGGCAGTTAGTTGTACACTGCTAACTAGATAAAAACGTACGAACTTCAGGCTTCTAAGAATTGAGGCTATCCCAGTAGTTTTTAAGTAAACACGCACAAGTGCTGTGCATGCTTGAGAGAGGAGGAGGTGAAAATAATGGACAAACGCACATATAGATTGGTCTCTCAGAGCTTGTTGGGCTCTGCCATCATTTCTCAAAGTGTGGATAGAGCCCACCTTTCCCAGATCTTCGGTCCATCTCATTTCTAACTCTTGTTCTTTTCTATTGGAGCAACACTTTTCTGGAAAACATTGGATCTCTGAAACAGGCCTGCAACAAGTTCACACATACTACTCACCTTGGGGGAAAACCCAAATAGCAAAATTACCACACTCCAGCAGTTCATGTGATCCTTACAACTCTATGAGATAGAAGTATTTTACAGTGGAGGAAATTGAGATTTAGAGAATTACCCAAATGTGGTAGGCTAGTAAATAAAGGAGCTGGAATCCTAACCCAAGTCTTACTGTTTCCAATTCCAAGCGTCTAGTCAAGATTAGCTCCAAAAACAGTGAACTCAAGCTCTGAGTTGTGTGTATTTTACCACAACTGTTAGCATATGGTTAACAGCTGGTTAAGAGAGCAAGGCCTGGGGTGGATGATCCAGGCTGAAATTCAGGCTCTTCCACTACAGGTTGTTGGACTTTACACAAGTTACTTAATTACGCCGAACTGCAATTTCACCATATAGAAAATGGGGCTATACTAGTATCTATGCTTCACTGGCTTATGAGAGACAATATTTAAAAAGCAGTTAGAACAGTGCCTACCAATAAACTCTACTGAAGACACCACACTCCTTTTTTAAAGCCTAAATATCCAACACATGCGAAAACACAATTCGGCAACCATAAGCTTTTCTGGGGTATTTACAAATAAACCCCAAATCTCTATTAAAGCTTTATTATATGTTCCACAGGCTCTCCAAGAAGCATGCTAGAGTATTATTAAATTCTAATTACTGTTCACTAATAAAGGAGAATTCTAGAATTTGTGCCTTTTTGTCCCCTACCTACACCATCAATAAGGTGAGTTTTTTTTTCCCCCTCTTATTTTATAATCAATTTATTCAACAAACATTTCTTCAAACCTTTGTAAGAACACTACTCCCGGAATTTATGGCTAAGACATAATGATCATTTAAATTAAGGTGTGACCGGATGTGGTGGCTCATGCCTGTAATTCCAGCACTTTGGGAGGCTGAGTTAGGCAGATGCTGAGGTGTGCAGATCATGAGGTCAGGAGTTTGAGGCCAGCCTGACCAACACGGTGAAACTCCCGTCCCTACTAAAAATACAAAAATTAGCTGGGCATGGTGGCTGGCGCCTGTAGTCCCAGCTACTCAGGAGGCTGAGGCAGGAGAATCGTTTGAACCCGGGAGGTGGAGGTTGCAGTGAGCCGAGATCGCACCACTGTACTCTAGCCTGGGTGACAGGGTGAGGCTCCATCTCAAAAAACTAAAATTTTTAAAAAATCAAAAATACAAATAAAGTGCAGTGGTGGCGCGATCAGGCCACTGTAACAAAAAAATAAATTTTACACAGGAAGTCAGAAAAATAATTCTGACTTATATTGTTCTGACTTATCACTGATAATGCATTATTCTGACTTATCAATATTATTGTAGCTTATCATTCCCAATTATTTGCCTATAAATAAAAATTAAAAGTTGCAGCTTCCTGAAGTGTATTGCGGACAGAAAGCAAAAACAGTAGGTTCAAAGTAGCCAGTCAGCTATTTATCCAATAGATACTGAGTGCCTATAACATATGAAGCATAGTGGTAGCACAATTAAAAAGGATGCAATATGACTGATGGTAATATTCGCTGTTTTCTCAGAGATAGGTAACTGGTGTATCATAACATGTCTAAATACACAAAGAACTTGAGTTAAGCACAATAACCTTTCAGTTCTAACTTTGGCCAAGTTCTCTGATTTCTGACCAGAGATTAGGTAAATGTTTTTCCTGTTGAGCCATTTCCACATTGTAAGGTTGCATAGATTATCCAACCTCTCTGCTTCAGACCCTGGCTTACATGTCACTGCCTACACAAATGATCTTTAAATACCTCCTATCCAGTGTCTGGGCTAAGTGCCATCCTCCACAATTCTGTGAGGGCCACCTATATATATACTACCCTAGTCTCATCTTTCTTCATTGCAAGAACGTGACTCCAAGAGAACAGAATATACATTTGTTTTTTATTAACCACAATACACCCAGAACCTAACAGTGCCTACCACATTGGATGAGTCTCAAAAATATACTCAACCACTGAAGCAGCATTATTTCTAGGAATTCTTCCTAATTTAAGAATGTTCTAAAATATTTAACCATAAGAATAAAGCAAGGCCAAGTATGGTGGCTTAGCCTGGGAATGGTGGGTTACGCCTGTAATCCCAGCATTTTGGGAGGCTGAGGCGGGCGGATCACCTGAGGTCAGGAGTTCGAGACTAGCCTGCCCAACATGGCGAAACACCATCTCTACTAAAAATACAAAAAATTAGCCAGGCATGGTGGCGGACACCTGTAATTCCAGCTACTTGAGAGGCTGAGGCAGGAGAATCACTTGAACCCAGGAGGCGGAGGTTGCAGTGAGCCGAGATTGCGCCTCTGTACTCCAGCCCAGGGAAACAGAGCAAGACACTGTCTCAAAAAACAAACATAAAAATAAAGCAAAGTTAGGTTCATGAAGGCAAAAAATTGGAATCAAATGGTCATCAATGAAGTAGTTAAAGCTAAAATAATGCAGTCATTAAAAGTGATGTTTTCAACAAACTGCAGGTGGAAATTTTAAAAACAAATGGGTGAGGTGGCTCATGTCTGTACTCAAAGCTATGTGGGAGGCTGAGGTGGGAGAATCACTTGAATTCAGGAGTTCAAGGCTGCAGTGAGCTATGATTGCCACAGGACTCCAGCCTGGGCAACAGTGCAAGACCACATTTCCAAAAAAAAAAGAAAATAGTAATGGTAATAAATGGAAGAAAAGTCTATACAAACTAAGAAACATATTCACTAACTGCAATGTATGGAACTTATGTGAATTCTGATTTGCACAATCTTTTTAAAATCATATTTGAGACAACCAATTTGAATACTGATTATGTAGTTTTGTAGCTTAAGAAGTGTTACGATTTTTTAAACAGTCCTTAACTTTTAGATGTACATACAGAATGATTTGCTGGTGAAAGGTCTAGGATTTGGTTCAATAAAAAGTCCAGGAAAGGGGAAAAATGGGTAGCAGAATAAATATAAGCCATGGGCTTATATTATAGCTATTGAAGTTATTTTCTCTACTTGTACATGTTTGAAATTCCCCATAAATTTTAAGGTCTCCCCATCTATTAAGTGAAAAAGTGGGTAACAGTATGATCCCATTGCATAACTGTATAAATACACACACCCAAAGGTCTAGAAGGGTATACACCAAAAAAGTGACAGTATCTCCCTCAGTACTATCCAGTAGAACTTCCTGTGACAATGTATATATTCTACAATCTCCCCCGTTCAAAACAATAGTCACTAGCCACATGGGGCTACCAAGTTCTTAAAATGCAGCAGTAAGATTGAGGAAATGAACTCTGTCTAATTATAATTAAGTAGCCACATGTAGCTAGTGAGTTCCATTTTGGACAGCACAGGTAAGACAGTGGAATTGTGAATGAGTCTCTTGCTTCTTCTTAATATTTCTCCACAAGCAAAAAGCTTTGTTTTTGCAATAATTAAAAAATTAAACTGTTTTCACTTAAAATATTTACAGACTACTGATGTGGGTTCTCCACAGAACTATTCTGAAAATGAAATGAAGCTGAATAAAACAAGTTATATTGAAAAGTTTGTGTGTCTGCTTTCAATTAGCTCTTTTTAAAAGCAAATGCAGGTGATTCACTTCGTTTGGTTTTTTCAACCTCCCATTCCTTCAGTCCCAATCACAGACAAACGTGTCTGTTTACTAAAAGGATAAAATGTGAATGTACTGCATAGATTAGGAACATTAATGTCCATCATAATGGAAAAAAATTGGAGCAAGCCCCTCCCCACCCCCCCCAAAAAAGCTTTTTGTCTTTTTGCCAATGAATTAGGGGCCATAACAGCTCTGCGAACAGAGAATTGTATAGTTAAAAGATCCAAATGGATTTATTGATTGAAGTAATCAGCAAATAGGATGAATGTGGATTTGAAAGGGCTGGGAAGAAATACAGTACCTTAAAAATAACTGCTGGTGACAGATATGTTCACAGTGTATTTCACAAGAAAATGTAAGTCAGCATGAAAGAACTAAGCCAGAGGTGAGATTTTTATTGACTTATTGTAATTTTTTGGCATACAAAGTACTTAATCAAGTATATTTACAATTCTTACATAATGTACATTTTGGAATAAAGATAATGTACTTTGCTCCATTTATAATGAGAAACTATTGTAAAACTACATTCATGAATTAGATACAAATTCTCTACATACTAATAAAAAGTAAATGGACTGTTGGTTATACATTCTTTAAAATATACCTTTTCACAGGTAGCAAGAAATAGTACATGTAATAAGTCTCTATGACTGGAATGATCCAGAAATATCACAAAGCACGAGTAAACACATATATAAAAGTAGCTCATCATTTCCAAAAGTTAACCTTTAGCCTTTGTGTAAAATAAATGGTGCCAACAACCTTTATAATGTAGCAAGCTTTCCCTGTTTAATATCCAAAAAATGGAGGGTGGGGAGGTTGAAGAAAATTAAGAAATTCAGCAAATAAGATAGTGAAAAGACCAATGCAGAGAAAAGTTTATGTAATCAAACCTTGCTTTGTCTCCACATTATCACATTTTAAGTGGATAAATTTATGTAAACAGAAAAAGATGTCCACAAAACCACATCTGTAGATGTCATCTGGAAGCATCAATAAATTGATAAGTATATGGTGAATTAAAATTACTTTTATAATGTTTTGCTTTCATTAATGTTATGGCAAAAATGTAAGATTTCCTACAATTTTGTCTTCAGATCCCAATCGAGCCCTTCAAACTTTTATTCAGGTTCTCCAGATTATTTGGAGTCTTTGTTATCAAAGCACAAGGAAAGCTGGCATTCATTATCAGACTTTGCTGCTTTACAATGATTTCAAATCATTTCATGATACAAATAAAGTGCCTCTGACTGGTAGTCAGACCTGGGTAATGGTGCCAACTCTGCCACCAGCTAGCAAATCAAATGACCCTGCTCTGTAAAACAAAAGGAGCACCCTAGGGTCAAAAAAGTAGACAACTTCGGAGCTCTTAGATTAAGATCTCAGAAATCCTACCGTGAGAATCCAGGGAGATAAAGCAATGCCAAAGTACACTGTAAGTAGCAAAACAGTATACAAAGGGATGTTTTTATGTTTTCACCTTGTTTCATTCCACTCATTTTAATTGTGAGGAGCCCTGAATCCAAAAAGGGTAGTGACTACTAGTCCAGTGCTCCTTCCACTGTATCATGCGGTTCTAAAGTCATTCTGGACATACAATCTATAAAAATACATCATTCTTCCAGCTCATGTCCATGGTCCAAAGCGATATTATACAGAAGTGTTAACTGACAATATAAGAATGATCTGGGAATGTCTGATTATTCAAAATGGTAGTAAATTTAGTCTTACACACAATTTACTGTGACCATACTTAATATGCATAAAATATTTTTAAAATACAAACTTAAATTGGCCAGATTCTGAATGTGTATTTTTTTCTTTTTCAAAATGCACTCATGAAGAACCAAAGTTCATATTCCAAATTAAATCTGTATGTCTGGAAAAGTAACCAATCAAAGTTCATTAAAATCTACAGTGAAAACCAGTATAAATTAGGCAAACACCATAATCTAATATCAGGAAATTTCTGAATTTCTAAGGATTGTATTAAAGGTAACTTTTAAAACCTTAGAAATCTTAAGCACATAAATATTGTAATGAAACACTGCAAATAACTGCTCAATTACTTTTATTCTAGCTCTAACATGAAATTGCATTTTATTAACTCTTCATAGTGCTATTCTTATTTTGATATTAATCTAATTTTTAAGTTAGTAAGCTAAAGATAATGAGCTAACAGATTAATAAGGAATAAGAAATTAATAATAGCAGATAAGTTATGGAAAGAAAATAAAAAGGCCAATTACACTGACCAATGAAGCCCAGAAGCATGACTCACATTGTTTAAACTATGATTGCTTATAATGCACTGAATAATTCACAGCATAACATAACTCAGATTTGTTACACACCATAGAAAAGCTATTAGCTGACATGGCTAAATTCACCTAAGAGCCAACCTACCTTGTAACTATTAATTTAATTTAAAGCCTTGCTGTTTACTCCATCATTTCTGCCAAATGCAGTCCAAATTGGGTCTCAGCATATTCAAGAAATGAAGTCACAGAAATGTATTTCTGTATTGCCAGCCTCCCTGCAATATTAAAGATTTTGCTTTCTCTGAAGATATTCTGAACCATGATCATCTTTAGGGCACTTCAAATACATTTCTGACCACTACATTTAAGTAGATACTAATTACTGCCACATTAACAACTCATAACTCAAGCCGCAGGAGGTAAGCGTGTCATAAGGAATTGCCTTTGCAACCACAGAGACTCCAGAGGTGATCTGAAGCACACACCAATGGCCAGATCCAAAAGGAAAACTGCCTCGATTTCCTCAGACAAAGGTCAGGATCTTTAGGAATGAAATCCTGGGATTAAAACAGGCAGGGGCACTATCATTGATGGAAAAGTGAGGTTTCTTTCTTTTTAACATTCTTCTTTTCTTTGAGCTTCTTGGTCAAATAATTTCAAGGTACACGCTAATAAAAACTACAAATCAGATTTTTGCCTTTAGTGAAGGTACCTAAAAAGCCAGATGATCTATGACTTTGAGATCACACAGCAAAGATAAAAATTTAATGTTCCTGTTATTGTTATAATTAAATACAATGCTGTGGGAGTTAGCATTTCCTCAGAAATAATTCACAAATATATTTTTATCCTCATCTAACATATAGTGACTATTACTAAATAAGCATTGCGTGCATGCAATTTGGCCAAATTATGGAACCTTTTCTGTGATGTGAACTTATTTCAATATCATTCCTGCTTGGCTAGCTTCTGATTTGATGTTTAATCAATTTGTAAAACTCTAGTTACTGGGAAATGTTAGAAAATTTATCTATAATTGGATCATAACATTTTTAAATATTTAAAAACCTCTTTTATTTAGAAAGTATCAATAATATCATTTACATATAATTTCTAAAAGAAGAATAAACTTAATTGTTGACAACAATGGAAAGGAATCAAAACGCAAATTAGGCTGGGTGCAGTGGCTCACGCCTGTAATCCCAGCACTCTGGGAGGCCAAAGCGGGCTGATCATCTGAGGTCAGGAGTTCGAGACCAACCTGGCCAAAATGGTGAAACCCGTCTTTACTGAAAACACAAAACAGCTGGGCATGGTGGCAGGTGCCCGTAGTCCCAGCTACTTGGGAGGCTGAGGCAGGAGAATGGCGTGAACCCGGGAGGAAGAGTCTGCAGTGAGCTGAGAT